GGAAAGGAAAGGAAAGGAAAGGAAAGGAAAGGAAAGGAAAGGAAAGGAAAGGAAAAACAAAATAAAGCAAGAACACAAAGCTATTTGTTGCTCACAAATAGTACTTCAGCAAAACTCTTGTGTGAAGGTAGACAAGTTGCATACATTTCCTCAAAGTCACCTGGGAAAAAACCCACCATACAACATGAAGAATTTCTAAGGACTTTCAATGCCAACAGCCACACAGAACTGAAGGTGCTTGGGTCCAAACAGCTGAGAGACAAGGCAAAACAAGAGCATAGGTAATCAGCAGAAGGATGGAGTCTCAGTTCAATCCTTTTGTAAACCTTGAACAAACACAGAATAAGCTGCCTGCATATTTCAGCCCTTCTGTGTTTAACCTTTCAAAAACACAACTAGCAAGGCTTATGCTTCACTGGTGACAAAAGCAGGAAAGATAGATGCACTGTTCTGTACACCTGGTTACTCATTCTTTATCTTCATCAACTTGTTCAAGTTGAAAAGAAACTTGGGAAGTACCCATTATTTGTTCTGTCTTAAATAAAGAAGAAGGAAGAAGAAAGGGAGGACATGCATACATTCCAGATACCAGATATTCTGGGATGCCCTGTGCTGGTTCATCATCGCTGGGCATTGTTCTCGATGGGAAGAAGGGAATGATGGAGACCTCTTGTGTGTTTAGGATCTAATGTTTCATGCTCCTCTGTGAAACTGTCTGGACTTCCTGCTCCATCTAACGAGCTTTCACAGCTTGAATTCGGGGACAACATGTCCTGAAGAAGATCTTCTTGCACTATGCCAGTCTCTTTGTTTACTTTACCCCGCTGGTTCCCTTCCTCTTCTTGGTCATTGAGCAGTTTGGCCAAGAAGTTGATGTATTTCATAGCCAGGCGTAATATTTCATTCTTGCTGAGCTTTTTGTCAGGTGGATGAGTTGGAATGAGCTTGCGAAGCTCAGCAAATGCTCCATTGACATTCTGCTGCCTCCACCTCTCACGGCTATTTGTGAATATTCGACGGACCACTTTTGTGTGAGGGCCTAAAGAAGACAAGAAATACAAGGTTAGTTACAGAAAAACAGCTTGCATATCAGCTAGCACACATATATCTATTAGTAACAAAATTGGAGTTAAAGTTAAATAAATGGACCAGGTTTTGGGGTTTTTTTGACCTATAAGTTGTAGATGAAAACTATAGTTAGTTTAATGTGCAGTCAAATTCTAGACTATCCTTTCTGATGAGCACAAGGATCTCCCAAAGTGGAAGATGGCTGGGGGAATCAGAGCATATGGAACATATAGAAAACAAATATGAAAACAAAGCTGCTTCATAGTTATTTTGTTCTGTAAAAATA